TTCTCTTGTCATGTCCAAAACTTTGTTCGTGTCATCTAGATTTTAGCAACATTAACATAATCTAAAAAAGAATTGAAAAGAGTCTCAAAAGTTCTTATCAAAATCAAAAATGAACATAGGTACCAAAGCATAGTCTATGCTAAGATCACACCATAAAATATAATTTGAGATGCATGTATAATGCATATACATGAACATGTATTTATTTGAATACATGTAAGATAATATGCATGAACCATCTTTTATTACATGCACTTTATTCCATGTATGACTTATATGCATGAACTAATCATTATTATATACATGTATAGTTGCATACATATATTTTTTGTATAAATGCATGACTTGGATACATGAACTATAGAACATTCTAAGAGCATATAAATAGAACCTCAATGTGCATTTGAAGTTTTTGAAACAACCATTCAACAATAAACAATATTACACACTTGAGAGTTATGACCAAAGAAAGATGTTTTTATTGGCAGAACTTTGGACTTGGTTAAAGTCTAATGACGAAACTCTTTGGTTGTTTTATCCTGGAGGGGACAAGTTATACAAGAAGGACTGATGCACCGGTTTTGGGTTTTTCCATCCGTAAAGGGCTTGAATCTTCTGGGAGAAAGCAAAATAACCGCGTATCAACCTTAATTGTTTCATATAAGTTTATTATTTTGTACTTTGTTACTCAATTTTATTGCAATAACACCAACAAAAATAATTATCAAAAAATAATTCTCGTCTAGTCAATCACTAATCTTCTTATACCAGAGGAGTGCTCTCGGATGCCAATGAAGGGATGGATTTCACCATGTAGTTACAAGTGTCCTCCTTGAACATGACTCCTAAAGTGATCCAGATAGGAACCATCTCTCCGAGAGTTTCCTGCATTGATTTGAACAATGACCAAATTAATCCTTATCAAGTGGGAGAAGATTATCGTTGACAGAAGATGAATTACCAAGTGGTGTATCTTGCAATGTCATTAGCCAGAGTCTACGTTATCCAACCGATCTGCCTTATCACTCCACACAGGCAGGAGGGCGGTGGAGGCAGCACGCTAAGCTTGACCTGTAATGCTTGAAAGGAAGCCTTAGTGAGATCTTTGGTTAGAATTTTAGCAGTTTGCAACAAAGAGGGGACACAACTGGTAATATGAGAACCCCGAGAAACATTTTGACAAATAAAGTGAAAATCTAGCTCAATATACTTGGTACAAGCATGAAACACGGAATTTTTTTGTCATAGCAAGAGCATTGGTGTTCACACAAGTGAATACCAATTTCCTGAATGAAATAAGTAATCCAAGTAAGATTAGCGGTAGAGGAAGCCATAGCACGATACTCTGCCTCGATACTTGAGTGATAGACACAAGCTTGCTTCTTTGAGGACCATGATAGACAATTGCACCAAGATAAATATAGGAGTCACTAATAAATCGACTAGTGTCAAAGCATCTTGTCCAATCCGTATCAAAGAAAGCACAAAGACTTAGACAAGACCGAGAGAGTAGCTGAATACCATAGTCTAAAGTGCCTTGGATGTAACATAGAATGCGTTTGACTGATTGAAAATGAAGAATCCTAGGTTTATGCATAAATTGGCATACTAAGTTAACAACATAGGAGATATCAGTTCTCGTGAGAGTAACATACTATAAAGTACCAACAATACTACAATAATGTGTTTCATCAGCAAGGGTTCCACCGTCAATACAAAGATTATGCTTTTGAGCCAAAGGTGTCCATATAGGTTTACATTTGAGCATTGAAAATTTAGTCAAAATAGACCGAGCATATTTTTGTTGAGAAAGGAATAGCCCTCCTAAAAACTATGTAACTTATATTCCTAAGAAATAATGAAGAGGACCAAGATCTTTCATCACAAACTTAGAATTAAGACGAGAAATGAGGAAAAAGATGAGACTTTGGTGACAATGATGTCGTCAACATAAACCAATAAAGAAATAATATCACCAAGTGTTCAAAAAATGAAAATTGATGGGCCAGCTTGACTAAAAATAAATCTAATATGGATAAGAATAAATTGAAGTCATCAAACCTAGCTCAAGGAGCTTATGTAAGATGATAAATAGCTTTACGAAGTGGACAGACAAGATTGGAAAATTATGGATGGGAAAACCCTAGAGGTTGTTCCATATAAACCACCTCTTTTAGATGACCATGTAAGAGAATACTTTTTAAGTCTAGCTATTGTAGAGACCATCCATGACTACGAGCAATAGAAATACTAATCGAATGGTTATGGGTTTGATAATAGGACTAAATGTTTCATCAAAATCAATACCAACAATTTGATTGTATCCCTTGGCTACTAATCTGGCTTTGAAACGTTCAATGGATCATACACCCATCGTGAGCCAACTACAATCATATCGCACTGTTGAGGGATTAAGTCCCATGTGTCATTTTGTTGCAAGGTAGTAAGAAGGTCCTCATGCATGGAAGATACCCAATGAGGACATCTAAGTGCCATTTTAATACTTCTAAGCTTAGTGGCATCAGTAAGATTGAGAGCAAGTAAGACTTGTTGATTACGTGTCTTCTATCTTGTAAGCATTGGATGAATATTGGTGCATGGAGAACCATAGAAGAAGTGGATGGGATAGCTAGAGATAGCTCAATAAAAAGAGTGTCTGTCATACTTGTGTAATGAGAAATAGAAGCAGCAGCAGATGGGCTAGCGGTAGTTGGATGGATGTCATTATTTAGCACAATGTCGACATGAGATGAGTCTAAGACATGAGGATCCATTGATCAAGTCACAAGTGAATCAAAACTTGGTAAAACATCTTATTTGGCACTGCTGCAAAACTGCTGCTCTTCGGATGAATTATAATTTTTAATCAATGTTTCAACTGTTGAATTGTTGCAATACGAAAGAGAACCTGAATCCGAATGTTAAGGGGCCCCTTGCAGTATTGTTGTGTTGGATGATGTCAATGGTAGATTTCATGTGGTCTCTTGCTGGTTTGTTTTGTTTTTTTTGTTGATTGGTCACCTTATGTGTGTAAAAAAATTGTTTTGGGTTGTTCGCAAGACACCAGAGAAGTTGGACACCCCTTGGGAACTGGGTGGGTATCTGAAAATGAAAAACTTTCATTTGGTTGTGCAGCAGATGGTGTCATTGCTTCAGTTGGAAGGCGTTGTGCTGAGGTCAAGACCCATTTTGAGAAATCATAATAGTTTGAGAACTGGCCATCAAGATGTAATGGAGATGATAATAGAGTAAGGTTAACATAGGTCAAAACCAACTCATCAAAAACCAAATGCCTCGAAATGTAGACTTTTTTGAAAGGAGGAAGTAAACATCAGTTGCCCTTGTGAATGGGACTATAACAAATAAAAGCGCATGAATAAGACTTTGGTCCAAATTTATTTTTTGATTAGTCTCTCAAATACGAGAAAGATGGACAACCAAATGCTTTCAACGAAGTATAGTCAGTATGACCACCATAAAAATTAAAAAACAGATTTTTCAGCCTCAATGTTACAATGCTATATGGTACACAGCAGTAAGGAAGGCTTCAATCCATCATTTCTAGGGCAACTATGAATGAGATAGCATGGTAAGTCATGTTTCAACTATATGTTGATGTTTTATTTTTGCGACTCCATTTTGCTCTGGTGTAGTTGGGCAAGATATGTTCCAGGGTATGCCATATTGACAGACGATAATAATAGATCACTATGATTGATCTGTTATCTTTAGGATTACAATTATTAATAGTCTTATATTATCTCCAATACAATCTCTATCTCTTTTAAATTCAAACTTTTTGTAAAATGTATTATAAATTCAATACCTATACCCATTTACGGGTAAGACATCTGATGCGCAAAATAGTTCTTGCAAGATCAACAGTCGAGTGTGTAATAAAGTAAAATTAATGGACAATTAATAGAACAATCAATGACAATAATGTAAATATCGGGTCAACACAAATATATAGTAATTCGATTGGGGTGACCTACTCCACTCTGAGAAACGACAACAGTGGCTAGGGGACCTTTATCAATTAAGTAAGTTGAACAAGAGAGAGCAATGATTAGCTCCGCGAGGGATATAATAGCTAGGAGAAAGAAAAGTTATGTGTAGTGTGTGTAGAGAGGTGTACAAATACATACCCGTTTATGTAAAGAGAGCTTACAATTTATAGACACAGAGCCTTAAGTTGAGGCGGTGACGTGAAGGTAAATGTACTAATTCTTTGGATAGCTACAAAAGGGAAGTACAATTAAATGTTGTCTTGATCTTAGAGGGTGAGTATCCCGATAATTGCTCTCTACGTGCTTTAATCTTCTTGGATTCCTTGGACCTTGGGCTATGTTGATTTGACAAACTGCATTTGACATGTCTTTTAGCTAAGTTGGGCTCACTTGATTTACTAGGCCTGACCCAGTTAGATTTGGGCTCATCATTTTCCCCTAGTGCCCTAAGTCCTTGTGGTGTCAAGGAGATTGAGGGCATGAGTAAGCTTTTCATTTTGACTGGGAAAAATGTTTCTTGTTCTCCACGGTGGTAATCCCCTCGACTTCCTACTTCGTTGGCATCATTTGGTCTTACTTTTCCATTTTAGCTGAGCATCCACTATGCTATCACAATTCTAGACTAGACTTTATCCTCTTCATGTTTAAAGACTCCCCCCTTCATCTAGGGCACAATTTCTAAGGCTTTAGGAGGTTAATTCTTATTGAGCCTTTTTTCTCTTTTCTTTGAGAGTTTCAAATCTTCCACTAGAGATTGCGAGAGATCGACGAATAGGAGCTTAATGGATGATGTTCAAGGTGAAAACCCATCTGAAGAGGGAGAGGAGTGATCCAAGGGGCAAGCAGCGAGGTGGAACAGTAGCTTAAAGATGAAGGAGAACTGGGCCTTGTTCTGGTTGAGGATTTTGCTAATGGTGGAAGCACAAGGGAACAATGAGAGGCTCCAAGCATCATGACGAGGAGCATGGGTGAGTCCTTGGACTGATTCGAATGGATGACTTCGCTGGTAGTTGTTTGGGCGATGGCTCCTCAGGCGACGCCAGAGGCTTCTTAGGCGATGCCACCACGTTGCACGTCGAGAACAAGGGGACATTAGGCAGTGGAGAGTATCGAAGGTGCCTGGGCGGCACCATAGTCGATCAAGGCGCAACCTATATCTGGATTAGGGGGTTCTTTTTGCACTGTCCTGGGTGACGACCAAAATAGGGACCACAGTGGCAATGTTGAATGAGGTAGGGACCTTGGAAGGATTGGCGAGGCAAAAGGAGACCAAGAAGGCGATGCCTATGAGATTGTTGGCGACACCATATGAGGCCGAAGGGTGGCGCCCGTGGTGCGAGGGATGACACTACAGCGGCTAGAGGCTTCCTAGGAGAGACAGATGACGGTGAAGTAGACGATGTCTTAGGCTGTGCACATATAGGTGACATCCATGGCGCTGGGCTGGATTGCAACGCCTAAGGCACTGGTCACTTGGCATCGGTTGGCACATAAACAACAATGCCTCTTCTGGTCCATCAACTTGTGCCCACTATTCATAATGCCTCTTCAGATGTTTACGTCCTTTAGGTGGGTCAAGGTTGTCCTGTTTTCAGCGTTTTTTCATCCTTAGGGTCAAGCATTTCTACTTAAAGGCCCTCTTGGGATTTCTTGGTTCTCATAGAGGCCACATAGCATTCTCTAGTGGCAATTTGGTCTCCTCTGACTTCTCCAATCCCACAGAGGGTTGAGAAATGAAGAATAAGGTGATAGGTGAATGGCACTGCCCTTAAGGTGTTGAGTGTAGGGAGCCTAAGTATGATATTGTAGGTAGATGGATAGTCCAGTATAATGAAGTTCACCATGATGGTGGAGCTTCTTGGCGCTGTCTCTGTGGTGACTGGAGGGTAATGGAACCCAAGGGATTTCTTGGTTCTCATAGAGGCCACATAGCATTCTCTGGTGGCAATTTGGTCTCCTCTGACTTCTCCAATCCCACAGAGGGTTGAGAAATGAAGAATAAGGTGATAGGTGAATGGCACTGCCCTTAAGGTGTTGAGTGTAGGGAGCCTAAGTATGATATTGTAGGTAGATGGATAGTCCAGTATAATGAAGTTCACCATGATGGTGGAGCTTCTTGGCGCTGTCTCTGTGGTGACTGGAGGGTAATGGAACCCAAGGGATAAACCTTCTCCCCCGAGAATCCAACAAGTAATGTCTTAATGGGTTGCAATCTATCCCTGCCGAGGGTGGAGGTTGTCATAGGCTAGTGCGAATAGGATATCGACTGAATTGCCGCTGTTAACCAAAATTCTCTAAACTTGGTAATTAGATACCATCATGGTTAAGACGAGGGGATCATCGTGAGGGAGTTGGATTCCCTCGAGATCCCTATCTGAGAAGGTGATGATCTCTTCTTCCCTATGTCGGGGTGTTTATTCGGGCAAAAGTCATACAACTCTGCCTGTCTGGCTTTCCTGATGTGTGCTTTCCTGGCAGAGTTGGAGTCTCCTCCTCCTCATAGCCCTCTGGAGATCATTTGGATTTCTTTGAGGGGTTGCTGGCATTCTTTATCATTGTTGTCTCGGCCAGGTGGCGGGGCTTATACTCTACTAGTAACGTACTGCCTCAGTTGGCCACACTGTATGAGCTCCTTAATCTGTCTCTTGAGCTCATAACAATCATTAGTGTCATGGCCATGGTCATGGTGGGAACGACAATACTTGTTCAAGTGTCTACGATTCTGGGCGGACTTCATTTTTTCAGGCCATCGAAGTGTGGGATCATCCTGTATCTAGAACAAGATGTGCTCCACCGAGGCGTTGAGTGTCGTGAAGGTTTTTTGTTCTGTCTAGGGTACTAGACTGAGATGGTCTTTAAAAGACACTCTCTCAGCTCTCTTAATCTTGCTCTCTACTTCTCTCTTATCTTCACGGGTGTCTTTCTTTTTTTCTCCTCCTTTGGAGGACTTACCTCAATGGGCATTGGTGACGTCTTCGACGTTTATATACTTCTATGCCCTTGACAACAACTCGATCATACTAGAGGGCGACTTCTTAAGGATGGAGAACATAAAGTTAGAGGAGCACAAAACAACAATTAAGGGGGCCATGGTTGCCTTATCGTCTGGCTCCTCAATTTGGAGAGCCTCCTTGTTGAAAGGAGTGAGGTAGCTCCTAAGGCTTTCATCCTAGTCCTGCTTGGTGGTGAGTAGGTGGGTACTAGGATTTTGATGTCAGTGTCCCCCAATGAAGTGGGAGATAAAGGATTTGCTCAACTTTGCGAAGAAGTGGATTGAAAAGGGTTTGATCTTCGCGAACCACTGTCGAGCAAACCCCTTCAAGGTGGTTGGGAAGGCTCTACACAAGATTTCATCAGGCACGTTGTGAAGTAGCATGAGAGATTTATATGTGTTGAAGTGGTCCAGAGGGTCTTTGGTACCGTTGAAGATCTCGATGGCAGGCATCTTGAACTTCAAAGGTAGGGGATAATTGACAACATCTGCCACGAATAGGGTATGAATGCGCCTTAAAAAGTAATCCACCATCTCCAACACATGTGCTTTGATGGTGTTGAGGGCATCGCCAAGATGGATTTGCACCTCCCTGATCTTCTCGTCCCATTGGTTGGGGAATCCTCTGTGGCGTCATTGTAATGACTTTCATGATCAGCATACTGGCTTTCTCCCTCGTCTTCTTGCATAGGTACATAAGGAGGGGAAACACATAAGCTTTCTGCGCATTGAGGAGGGACTCCCGGGCGAGGGTCACTGCCTAGGGGCATTCTAGCACGGGGCCCCATGTTATGGTGCGGCTTGGAGCCCAAAGTGGAGAGTTTGTAATGCTTCTCCTGTTAGAGGGAGCAGTGCTCCTCCTACAGGTGAAGGGGTTGACGCCTCTAGAGGCGAGCATTAACTGGATGATTTACTAGTTCTTGCTAAGCTGTTGCCCGACCATGGGAGTCACTGCAGTGGATGGTTCTGAGGGTGCGGGGGGAGGCGGAGCCTTCTCCTAGGGGGAGGGCGGGTTGTTGTCTCCTAGTTGTTAACTCATCAACCTGGTCGTGGTAAGGTAGTAGAAAACTTAATCATTTCCCACAGACTGCGCCAAACTGATGATACACAAAATAGTCTCGTGCAAGATCAACAATCGAGTGTTTGGTAAAGTGTAATTAATGGACAATTAATAGAGTAATCAATGACAATAATATAAATATCTGGTTAACACACAAATATAAAGTGGTTCGGTCCGAGTGACCAAGTTCACTCTGAAAAACGACAACGGTGGCCGGGAGACCTTCATTGATTAAGTATGGTGAACGAGAGAGAGAGAGAGAGCGCAATGGTTAGCTCCGGGAGGGATACATTAGCTAGTAGAGAGAAAAGCTATATATAGAGTGTGTAAAGAGGAGTAGAGATAGATGTCCTCTCATGTAGAGAGTGCTTACAATTTATAGGCACAAAGTCTTAAGTTAAGGCGGTGACATAAGGGTAAATGTACTAATTCTTCTGGTAACTACAAAAGCTAGGTACAATTAAAAGTTGTCTTGATCTTTGAGAGTGAGTATCCCTATAATTGCTCCCTATGTGCTTTAATCTTCTTGGATTCCTTGTACCTTGGGTTGGTTTGATTTGACGAACTGGGTTTGACCTACCTTTTAGGTGATTTGGGCTCACTTGATTTACTGGGCTTGGCCTGGTAAGATTTGGGCTCATCAGCATCTAAATCAAAACTTTTTTTATTCTTTCATGGTATCAGATACAAGTTCATAAGAAGTCTCTCTATTATAATTATGTGAAATTATTAATGGGTTAATTAAATTAAATCTTTTATAAACATGATGTGTGTGAGCATACATTGGGTATGTGGACCCCGTTAGTCATGTAGTAGTGAGACCCATTCATAAGAATTTCATGTGTGAAAAATAGTGGGTTGATTTTAAAATTTTTGAAGAACTTTGGGGGAGGCAAGTGTAATTATCCCAATTAGCGTGATTCAGCCTTTTATGTGTCAACTTATAAAAAAAAAGAAAAGAAAAAGGTGAGTCATGTTTTAAGCAAGTGTGTCGTGTGTGTGTGTGAGAGTATGCCATGTGTGTAGGTGTGTGTGTTTAAAAGATAAAAACAGTGTGTGTGTTCTTGTCTAGACCGAGAGTGAGGGGGAGTAACAGTGAAAGAAAAAAAAAACAAGTGTGTATTCTTCATGCCGTGAGCAAGGAGGGAGAGAAAGAGAGTGAAATCAAGTCTTTGGTGGGTATTCTTAGTCCAAACTGAGAGAGGGACAAAGAAGGTATACGGAATTAAGTTTAAGCATGAGTTGTGATTAATTTTAGTATGTACATATTTGTATATATGTGGACTGTTTTAGTATGTTTTAATTAGTAATTTGTTTGACTTTAAATACATAAGCTATTTTATTGTAATGGGATGTTTTAATTTAAATTTCATGGGCTGATTTTGGGTGTAATAAAGTATATTTAGCATAATTAACGGGCTGTTAAAAATAGGTTTCAAATGCATATTAAACTAAAGGTGACAAAAATGTGAAAAATTGTTATTTGAGATGTTCGGTATATTTTTCGAGAGCTAGGTTGAAAACGAAAATTATGGGAACGAAATGGGTGGTTTAAAGGCCCAATTAGGGGCTTTTATGCATTGATTAAATGTGTATGTGAATTTAAGTGTGGCAGTTTTAAATAAAAAGTGCGATAGAAGTGGAAAATGGGTGCCGGTAACCCCAAAACCCTGATTTCTAAATATTATTATCACATGTATGAATTTTAATCCAAATGAACTGAAATTTTGCATGCATCATTTTTAAATGATGCTTGATGTGATAATGTGACTTTCAAATGTAAATGAGTATAACATCCGATGCGAAATATATGAAATGTCAGAAGTACAATTTTTAGGATTTGGGGTCGAAATGTGTAAAAATGGGCCTCCGGTCAAAGTGTTTGACCTACTTAATCCTAATTATGATTAATGTAAGAAATTTTAAAGATTTGGGGGTGCATCATTTGCATACATTAGTGCATTATTAACTATTAAATGTGATAAACATATTGATATTGTAATTACAAATGTGTTAGGTGGAACGAGTAAGACAGTCAGTATTGGAACAGATACGGTAATACCGAAAGGATCCATCGATAGGACCGAAGGACCATAGATTTGTACATCTAAGGCGGGTGTATATCTTTATATGTTTTGAAAATGCTAGTATAAGATGATATTAAATGATAGAATTTAATAGCATTTCTCCAGAATTATGTGCTACTTGCCTTTGTGATTGAATGATGTTTTGTACTGTGTATTGTGCATTGTGGAATGTG